AAATATTACAAATAATAAAAGCCTTAGTTTACAAAATATATTTGAATAATTTAACTTTTAAAAATAAATAACAAATTAAAAATATATCAGTGTCTCACTCTAATAAGGGTAATAAAATAAATATCAAAAACTTAAGAAAAAAAATTAAACGGGACAAGGGCCCCGTCCCGCCTCACCTCGCCCCGCCCGTCTTGCCTTAAATAGGTAACAGGACGGGAAATTGCCCGGTGGGGTAGGGGAGGTTGCCCTGCCTTGTTGCCATCCCTAAGCTAAAAGTCACAATTTTGATGTTGGTCCCCATTGTACTGTCTCAATAGCATATTAGTTTTGAACTTTTAAAAGTGAGAACAAAAATTGAATTATTCGTAAATAGTTGGAGGAAGCCAAACTTTGGGTTTAAGTGACGTTCTTTATACCAAACAAATGCACGGTCATAAAATGAATAATTTGGCGCCAACAATTTCTTCCAGACACACTCTAAAATAAAATGTTGGGAACACTTGATCTTTTTATATGTTGGAGAGAAATTTGATATTAGGACAATAGGTCAGGGACCACTAGTGCAATTCGATCTTGTTTTTTGGCTTCCAACTTTTGAAGTTGAAAAGTCACTTTTGAAAAAATCTCAACATGTTTTGCTTGACAAAATAAGCAGTATCCACAAAGATAGTGCCCCAAAAAAGAACCATGCTTCATGTATAGAAGCATGGTTCTACATAACACCACCAGATATACACAATGCAGGGGGTGGGTGGGTTTTTTTTTAATTTTTATCCTAGTGGGCCCCACACACGCGAGTGGGTGTAAAGTATCCGAAAAAAAAAGTTTCTGCACATATGATTTTTCCCCCAAAAAATTACTTTTTTCAGTAGTATCAAGATATAAGTAGATTTATTCTTGCAACAGAGGGCAAGCTTAACATGCTCTTAATATTAAATTAAATAACTCACTTTTTATTTTTTTAAATTTAACAATGAAAAATTATTTATTTTAAAATCATATTTTTACATATAAGTAGATAACTAAGAAGTAATTCTTTTAAAAATATCCAAACGTGGTTCTAAACCTCAAATTTTCTTGTTCTGAGCTGTTCATAGGTTGGTTGAGCTACATTTTGGTATAATGTTGGTGGGACTCTCCTCCAAGTGAATAAAATGAGGTTTTGATTAGTCAATAACGTGTTACTTCTTGCTCGTGACTCATATTTATTAGTTCCATGAATTAGAAATGAGCGTTTAATCTAATAGGTGGGTAGGTGTATAGACCAATTGAGTCGTCGTTACCCTAAACATATATTTAGCCCCTGTTTGGGTCACATTCTTTTTTTCATTATCATTCTTCTACTCATTTTCAACCACACATTTTTCAATAAAATAATATTTTCCATCACATCAATAAATTTTCCTTCCTTTTCAACCACACATTCTCCATCAATCTACTATTTCAAAATACATTTTTCCAAAATAATGTGGATCAAACACACCCTTAACTTAACTTAAACATGTGACTCACGTTTAATAGTTCGATGAGTTCTAGTGGAAATAGCGTTTAAATAGATAGGCGTGTAGGTGAAAAGAAGAATTGAGTCGTCATTACTTTTTAAAGTCTTTAACTTAAGCCGGTGGGTCACGTTTATTAGTTCGACGAGTTATATCGAAATGTGAGATATTTAAACTCAGTAGAACAATTTAATAGGCATAGAGCAGTACTCTTTAACCTTTTTTCCCAAAAATTTAGTCTGAAAATAACAGAATTATTGAATAAGATTTGGTACACCATTATAATATATTTGGTTAATTTGCATTTTATATATATATATATATATATATATATAATTTGGATGCCCTTATTCCAAAATTATAATTAAGAATTCTATCGTTATACAATCAACGGGCCCCACTTTGGCAGCCATGTTTGACTGTTTTATCCGCAATCAATTAAATTTTTGATGAAAAGATCATGTTGCCCCTAACTTGTTGCATTCAATATTCATACTCATGACAATTTTGACATTTCAAAATAGAAAAAGATGGTTGCCATTTTTCTTTTCAAATCTTGCGGCTGGATCGCTGTTAATCGAACTGTTGCAACGTTTATATTTTTTATTAAAATGTTGAATTAATGGCTTCCAAACATGGATCTGTAACTTTTTATATTTTTTTTAACTATGTATTCATCAAAAATATAATTTTTCACAAATTTTATTTTCAAAAAGTTTACGTCGAACAGGCCCATTATATTTTTCTCTGCAAATTTCGAACTAAGTTGTACGAGTATAGTTTTGTACGAAAATAATAGTTAGTCAGTTTTCATCACAGTGGATTGATTTCAAGGTAGAATTGTTGCACTAATGTGTTAATTTCACAAATAGTCACTACATATGTTAAAAATTTAAAGTTGATCCTTAAAGTTATTTAGTCATTAAAATTAATTAATTTTACATGGTCATTCTATTGGTGAAAATAATGCTCAACTCAACGTGGTTCCGTTAAATGTTGACATATACAAACTATTAATCCATTGATCATCTCACGAAACACGTGCTATATTTGATCCCACGCTGAAAACTTTTATTTATTATTATTCAAGCATTTCTTGGGATTCACTGCTATTTATCTTGATATTTCTTTTTATAAATTATTTATAATTTTACCAACCGGAGTCTTAGAAAATTGCAGGAAAATGTAATGAATTTCAGTAAACACTATCTGGTAAATTGTTTTAGGAAAATCTATTATTCTGTAGTGAAATAGTTCGAGAATAGGGATTTATACATGCACCTTAATTATGATAGGTTAAATTTTCTTTGCATTTTTTTTTTTTTTGGAGAAAATAGGGTTGGGCTATCTAACATTTCATGAAGTGTGGAATAATCTCTTCCTCCTTCAAAATTGAGGTGCTAACACTCAATAGCATGGGATTTGTCTACCCTCTTAGATCAATTTCTAGTTATTTTCTTTCGACCCATCGGGTCTCTTTTCCAAAATAGATATTATCATATTCATTGACTATCTAAGTGGCAATATATTCGTCTTGCTACTTGTTGATATATTGTGAAAATAGTCGCGATACGAGTTGATCGTGCTCCGAGTTTGAAGTTGTGCCCAATGAAACAAAATCGAAACATTTCAATAGTTCTTTTTGTACTTATACACCATTTTCCTTCGTTCTACGCCTCACTTCCAAGATGGCATGTTCTCAATTGCTAATTGATATCATTGTTGAGTACGTGTTAACCATCATATGAGCACTCGACCACTTTCATACTTAACATTGTCCTGCAATGAGGTTATTTGACAGTACACGTAAATGTAAATTTGCATCTAAAACAATTAACTCATCATATATTATCGGATTGCATTTTCTTTCATATCGATATGCCTCACATGATATTCAAATTCACATATCGTGTAAGCCCCCAAAATGCTGAGTTGAATGGTTGTCTCGTACCTTTAGCCCTTCAACCAATTTGTGTCTTCGAATTCTTTTGCAGATAGTAAGAATATGCTACGTGCACTGCATTTGGATTTAGATTTTTTCAACTACATTTTCTATACTTCTATGTCTATTAGAATCAATAAAATTCATCACGATCTCCATAAGCTTCTTTAAATCACTTCAAGAACCTTTCCTATTATCCATCGTTATATATTGTTATCTGTGTCTCGTGTGCAGGCGGTGAATATCAAATCTCCGCAACTTCCATTCAAGAAAGTACCATCAACTACAATAACATGTTTGGAGTGCTTACAGCCATTTATTGAAGCCCCTAATGTCATGAAACAGTAGAGGAACTTACATTCATCTATTCCGATTCCTGTTAATGACTCTCGATTTGTCACTTGTAGCATATGTAAGTATTCTAGAAGCTTCCCATAAGATTTTTTGGGAGTTTCCATTATCATCTTAGGGCACATTCATGTGCTCTCCAAGCCTTTTTGTAACTTATTGTTATTCCTTAGATGTTCATCATGTCCTTCATAATATCGGCAGATGTGTATATCATTCTTAAAGAGACGAACATGTATAAAATGCAATTGACAATGAAAGAACAACCTCTCTGATCTTCTAAATCTATGTCCATCGAGAATGTGTGGCCGTTCTTTATATTTCTTATCTTGAATATTTTACTCATGGCGAGTTTCAAAGCCCTAAAATTCCATTTTGTAGTTATCATCAAAATATTTCATACGTATTTATTCTCGACTGATTTATAAATCACGTGCACTGCCACACTCGTGGTCAACAAATCTTTATTTTTGAAAAAATAAATCATTGTTAACTCCGACTTCAATAGGATGAGTTATAACCCTGTAATCATCTTCTAATATATTTTCAGAAAATTTCACATAATTATAAATCTCTAATCCTATCTCCTCAATTGTAGCAATAATTTTCTACCCTTTTTTTGGTCGAATTTTTATCTTTAACTTTTCAACGTCTCGTCCTTGATGATGATTTATATTAAAATATTTTTGTTTCATATAATCATATTTGAAAATAAGGAAAAAAATATTTTTTTCGTACTTTTTGTTTATTTAATTTTTAAAGGATGAGAAAATAATTTATTTTATTTATTTCAACGGACTTTTGGACGCAAAATTATTATCAAATACAAAATGTGTAATTAAGAACTTTAGGTACAAATAAAGGCCCTGTTTGAGCCAAATTATTGTAAAGTGAGAATGAAAAATATAGCCGTTAATTGGGCCCACATAAGAGATATAAAATTTGAATTTAAATATTGATGTGATGGATAACGGTTATATTTTTTCATTTTACTGAGATAATAATGTAGATCAAACAGGAGCAAAATGTGGTACAAGAAATCTCAAACAAATATTTAGCCAAAGTGTGTGTATATGTATATGTATATGTATGTGTGTGTGTATATATTTTTTTTTTCCTTTTTTTTTTTAATTTATTTTTTGGCTTAAAAGAAAAGGTTTGGCGCTTTTCTTCCTCACGGAATCAGATTCAAACCTTCACAGTCTAGCGAAATGAAACCAGAAGACCTTCTTCGCCACCCACTCCACACCCAAACCCAAAAACTCACCCTCAACTGCCCCCTTCTCGACCTCCTCCTCCACGGCGGTATTCCTTGCGGCACCATAACCGAAATCGCCGCGGAGAGCGGCGTCGGGAAAATTCAATTCTCCCTCCAGCTCCTCCTCGCCGCCCAACTCCCCGCTTTACGTGGAGGCCTCTCTGAATTTCCCTTCCCCTTCCGCCGCCTGCACCAATTTTCGCTATTTTATCGATCGCATGTCCCTGATAATCCGCTAGACTGCATTTTTATTCAACCCGTCAGTCACCCGACCACCTGCTCGACCTCTGGTCTCGCCTAGAATCTATTGTTTCCCGGTTGAATATTAGGCTAATTGTTATTGATTCTATAGCAGCATTGTTCCGCTCAGAGTTTGATAACACCCCCCTTGAATTAAAGAGGAGATCGAGCATTTTTTTAAGATAGCTTCGAAATTAAAATCCCAAGCTCAAAAAATTGGTCTGGCCGTTGTGGTGACTAATCAGGTAGTGGATGTCACGCTAACAAATTGAATTGCTAGGAGACAAGCAGAAATTCTGGTAAGTTTCTAAAGGACTACATACTGAAGTGTTATGTTTTGAATCATTTGAGATTCATACAAATTGCCAATTTGACTACTAATTGTATTTTGATTATTATTTTGTTCAATAACTTTTAATCTTATAATTGTATATGTATATTCTCTAATTCTTCCACTGCAATGTGGATCAAGTTTGAAAGACAAATCATCTTGCTGGTTGAAGCCAAGATGTAAATTTTCTGCCTGCTATTGATGATAAAAAAAATAGTTGAATTTTAAAGTTTCATACTCTTAGAAGGGAATCAATATCATTTTTTCTTTATTAATTTGTTTCTACCAGACAACTTTTTTTTCTCAGACTGTGTCCATTGTTCAAATGATCACAGAGAGAAGTGATACGCATGTATTTACATTTGCATTCACACTCACAGATTCAACGAGTATTGGAGTTTTGCTATTTTAGCATTAATAATCCCTTAAGACATTCATCAAGATTGTTTGATACCTTGTTTAAGAAATAAGATCAATATTGTGGGATAGCCAGACAGGCCATCAGCAGTAACTAGGTAAGGCCGCTCTATAGTTATGCTCTACATAGGAATAACTACAATGCAGTTATAAAAAATTCTGGTCCCGAATTGGGCCAGTTATAAACCATGTTCTAAAATGCGCCGCCTACACGTGCCTAGGCGCAATGCGGGTAGAAAATGCGTCAAATTCGGGGTATACGCGAAAAATGCGTTTCTGTTCTAAAAGGCGGCATAGCTTAGGCGCACCTAGGCGGCGCATTATCCCGCCTAATCCCCTTTTTTTTATGATATATTAAAAAATCTATTTTTTTATATAAAAATATATTTAATACCTTAAAAATAATTAAAATAATATTAAAAATACGAAACGCATTATGGTGCTTATTCTTCGAATTGACACGCCTAAACTTGTGATTCTTGATTCTCGACCTCGACGCCTCGCAACGCATTACGCCTTTTAGAACATTGGTTTATAAATAAGAATAAACTCCAGATTTTAGTAAGATACAATTTTTCTAGGTCCCATCTTAAGGAACTTGCATCCACATAATAATAAATATTTGTACATTGCATGGATTGTTTGTACGACGTATATATAGAATTTGCTAAGAGAAAAACATTTAAAAGAATGCAAAATTTTAAACTTAAGAAAACTGTGCATATTGCCTACACTACATAAATACGTGTACTAGTTTTTGAGATCACATCTATCTCTTTGTTCATGTCTATACCTTGGATTTGATATGCTCCATTAATTAATTATTAATGTAGTAATAAAATTAGTTTGGTCTCAACATTAGGACTATAGAGAGGTTTTACTGTATTGTCCTGGCATATCAGCATGCTGTGTTTACATGTGTTGATGATCATTGACTCTTCTGGCTGCCAATGCAATAAAATTATCAGAAAGTTACCGAACACAGATACCCTACACGAGTGTTGAGCTGAAAGCATAACTTAACTAATTGTCTTTGATGGGTACGATATGATCATGAGCTGGGTCCCATATGGGTACAAAATTTGCTGGAGGAACATATTGCAATCTAGGTTCTAAGAACATCTCCAGTGGTGCTCTAAATTGTGATTTAGATCTCCAAAGTGGTCGAAAACTTTTCTAATAAAGAGATGCAAAAGAAATGCAAAGTGTATTTTCTTGCAGAAAATGTAAAATAAGATATAAATTTACATCTTTTTTTGATCTATTTGTTGGACCCTCAAGAGACAAAAAGCTACCAACCCACTTGCACCAATTTTCTTTAGATCTTCCCATTGGAGCATAATTTGAATTTAGATCCATTAAAATGTAAAAGTAGTTTTGGAGATGTCAATTTACACTCAATTTTAAACCACGATTGGAGATGCTTTAAGGGATTGTTTTTATGATTAGCAAAAGTAAATGCAAACATACTATTCGAGATTCTGAATTTAAGCCCCATGAATGGGTGGAATCATGTCAAACCAAGCTGCGTGATATTATCTCTTTGCATATTAAGGGAATCAAATAAGGCACAACCACAATCCTTAGTGTTGACTAATTGACATTGAGCAAGCATTAGTATTTTAGTTCATGATATCTGAATTACGTCAACATGCCCTGTAGGCAAAGACTAACATTTACGCATTTTCAGGTTGTTTGAAACTGCAGTGCAATATCGTAGTAAATGCGCCAGATAGGAACAAGTTGTGTTTTCTAGCGAACTTAATACATGAGCTTCACATGGGAAATTTTTTCAGTGATTGTGGTTTTTCATTTGCTACCTAATGAAGACTGAACTCTGAAGTTGACAGGTGATACTAGATGACATTTTCTAATTTATGTGGATATTTCATAAGCTTCCTTAATGGGATATGCGATACATACAAATTCCCATGTTAAATGGATTAAATAAAAGCCATGAAATTTTACATTCATCCATTGACCTACGCCGGCTTGTGGTAGCGTTCCTAAGTTTTATTTAACACACACCATGAAATTTTTGGTTTTCCTTAAATTATGCTATCCTGAATTAATGTACATCTGTTCATGGCACAAGTTTGATTCATGATACAAGATTTGATAAATTTTTATGTTACTTGGCTGACAACCTACCACAACCCTCCCTAGTTTCTTTATTGTCACATCCGCCCTTAACTTTTTCAGGAGAAAAGCGCAGCAATCAGGAAGTTGATATTACTGTTTGAATTGTTTATCGAGTTTCCTTGACAAATTAATATTCTTGCTGAACCTTTGTTAGTATTTTGCAGCTGTTCAGTTGGTCGTTATTATCGGAGACCCTTCAGAGGGATCCTGTGACTCATTCTCTAAACTCATGGCCTATTTTAAGATCAATTCATGCATTTCTGAGTAGAGTGCAGACATGAGAGACATTGATGCACATCCCCGGTTGGGCTATTAGAGAGCCTTTTATTCTCTGAACCAATTTACAGAGGTGGTTGCTGGTGAGATTACAAGAAGAGGTCATCCATGGCTGAAAAAGTAACTTGCTGAAAGTTGCCCCAGTTTCACTGGTCCAATGCGTTCCATTTTTCATTCTAAAAGTTGTGCAACGGGACAAATAGCAATTATTTTTATCTCGTGAAGTCCTGCAATTTCTTATAGTTTTATCTGAGACAATGTACAGCCCCTACATGGAAGTATGGAACTTTACAGTTCATTTTTCTATTTGGGTTTTAGCAAGGAAATGGATCTCAGAAACCTCAAGGACGTTCCTTTGTGGCTTGTGCAGTGAGAAACTCATGCTAACTTTTATAGTATTCCTATCCCCTGATTAATGCTTTGGGCTACAAGTATAAATTGGGCTTTGCTGGTCACTTTTTTCAGATCATACAGGGTTCGTGTTAGGCCCGACCCACGGTTAATGAGTTCTAGGTTATGCTTCGAGCATAAAGTGTTTTCATGGCCCAGCATGATCCACCAGTTCGAGTTTGAGCAATGTGGTGGTGCATAATGAAGTGACCTCCACCACTAAAATAGAACTACCCCAGAACGGGGATTCACATCAGATAGTGATTGGGAATTCTCCAGTTTGTACCTAATTCTCACCTCACCGCTGTCCATAATGGTCCAGTGGGCCAACGACTTTCTAGAGAATTATTTTTTTTCGGAAAAAATCTAAAATGTCACCTAAAGACCCACCCTGAGGGCCACACGAACTTCATTACTCCTATTTTTTGAGCTAATACAAACATACAGTTCCTCCAATTTAATGATAAATTAATGGGAAAGGAATCCCAAATTCCCAATTCTTTACAATATACATATGATATGGAATCTAGCTTCAATTTCCTGTAAATCATTGGACAGAGCTTATGCATTTTTAGTGTAAATTCTGTCCAAGATTCTCATATAACGGTTGGCAATTCATGGCCATTGTCGAGTTGAAGTGAATTAAGATCATTCTCTTTTTACTAAAGAAAGAACTAGTTGCCATTGATTCTCCTCTGAATAGATTCCTTTTTTATTTCTCTTTTTCTTTGAAAAAAAGTCCTGGACATTTGAAATTTTCATGTAGAGTTTGCCAATTTTAGCCACAAAACTTAAGTTGATATTTCCTTCTGTATGCATTAAGCAATGACAGTTCAAAGAAAAATTTCTTATTTTAGCTTTAGGTAGTAATTTAGAGCCTGTTTTGATGTAGATTTTTTGAAAATAGATTTTGTAAAAAGTAAATTTTTTGAAAAACGTGATTAAAAAGTAGGAAAAAGTTATTGGTCTACGTATAAAATAATTTATTGAAAAAGAATTTTAAAATATCTCCTCCAAACATGGACTTAGGAATCCAGGATATTTCCTTATGAAAAATTGAATGTACATTTTATGGAATTTTTCTTTTAATTGTTCAAAGATTAAAGCAAAAGAATTGAGTTCTTGGTTTTGACCATATGCTTTAAGGAATGGGCATATAATTTATTCTCTTCCTTTCACACAAGCAAATCAACTTCCATTTCAATTTTCGAAGTTCCTCAAAAAAGTTTGTTCCAACGTTGAAAAATTTGAGAATCAAGTTCAATTCAATGTTCACTTTTTTTTATTCATCAAATAAGCAATTTTTTTTTCTTGTTGCACATTTTATAATCAACAAGAGAATAATCACATTGCTTTAATCACATACAAGACAAAGAGTTAGATAATTAAGTACTTGACGAGTTTTAATGAGAGCTCTTAACTCATTGCTTTAATCACATACAAGACAAAAGTTATCAAATTTGTATCCTTCTAAAGCCAAGAATAAATATAGTCAGCAAAAAAGAACCTAACTCTTGCAGTGGAAGGTTACGAGATGGCTGATCCTTTGAAAATTCGCAGGTGCACGGGATTATGGTCGAGTAATAAAGTGATGAATAGAGCGTCGAACTCACGAGAACTATGTGTTTAATCGAGTTAAAATTAATCGCATCTTCAATGGAATAACAAACAAATTTTGTGATTTTTCTATACTAATCCGTAAATTATCAATTAAACTAATGAAAGTAAACGCGTTTTTCAAATATGTGAGAAACATTGTTAAAATGTCAAATTCCCCTTATTATTTCATTTTTAGTGTACCAATTAGTGACAATTTGAAATTATTCGTGTTGGTCTATGATCCTAATTTAATCGAAAGTTTCTCTCGATAGCAATCAAATTTATTCCCCTCATATGACCCTTTTATTTTTCAATGAAAGATACAAATATGATAAATGCATTAACAAATGCTAGAACACTTATTGAAACTGTATAAAGTATAGATGCATATCTATATCCAATCTTACAATGCTTATTATATATGTTAACCTACAGCATTGTTGTTCCTTAAAACCTCCAAATCACAAGAACATTTACCTACAACCCTATTGGACCCTGGGGGCTGGGAGGGGGTTTGGGTGTCACTGTCTTTGGGACCGTATTCATAATGGTTAGCTGCATAATATTAAATATATTTATTGAATTTCTTATGTTTTGTTCACGATGGAGGACTATATTATGGCGAGCTGCATTTAAAATATTATATGTTTATTGAATTTCTTTTTTTTTTTCCTTGAATTTTTCATTTTTAATAATATAAGTAAGAACAATAAAATTGACTATTTTGCCCTCCGGAATCTTTGGAAACTCTTGTCGAACTCGTTGAATAATGAATTAATGGATAAAACTCTCTGTCGGGATGAATTCCGCTAATTTATCAAAAAGTAAGTGATCGCTGGTTCAAAAAAAAAAAGAAATTTGTTGGAGATGAAACAACTTCACATGGACAAATATAAATGATGGTACCAACTAATCCAACTCCAGACTAAAATGTATGATGGAAATTTGCCTTTCCAACTCAGTTAGGAAATCAAAACAAATAAAGAGTAATACTGAAAGAAGGTGCATCTGCCTGTTTAAAATAAGAAATTCCGTTACATAGTCCGTTAAAACAACAAATTCCGTTAGTTTTTCCGTTAAAAACAAGAAATTCCGTTACATAGCCACTTTTAATATATAGAAGATGTGAGAAACATTGTTAAAATGTCAAATTTCCCTTATTATTCCATTTTTAGTGTACCAATTAGAGCGACAATTTGAAATTATTCGTGTTGGTCCATGATCCTAATTTAATCGAAAGTCTCTCTAGATAGCAATCAAATTTATTCTCCTCATATGACCCTTTTATTTTTCAATGAAAGATACAAATATGATAAATGCATTAACAAATGCTAGAACACTTATTGAAACTGTATAAAGTATAGATGCATATCTATATCCAATCTTCCAATGCTTATTATATATGTTAACCTACAGCATTGTTGTTCCTTAAAACCTCCAAATCACAAGAACATTTACCTACAACCCTATTGGACCCTGGGGGCTGGGAGGGGGTTTGGGTGTCACTGTCTTTGGACCGTATTCATAATGGTTAGCTGCATAATATTAAATATATTTATTGAATTTCTTATGTTTTGTTCACGATGGAGGACTATATTATGGCGAGCTGCATTTAAAATATTATATATTCATTGAATTTCTTTTTTTTTTCCTTGAATTTTTCATTTTTAATAATATAAGTAAGAACAATCAAATTGACTATTTTGCCCTCCGGAATCTTTGGACACTCTTGTCGAACTCGTTGAATAATGAATTAATGGATAAAACTCTCTGTCGGGATGAATTCCGCTAATTTATCAAAAAGTAAGTGACCGCTAGTTCAAAAAAAAAAAAAAATTTGTTGGAGATGAAACAACTTCACATGGACAAATATAAATGATGGTACCAACTAATCCAACTCCAGACTAAAATGTATGATGGAAATTTGCCTTTCCAACTCAGTTAGGAAATCAAAACAAATAAAGAGTGTCTCCTTTTTTCATCATAATATGGCTTTATACTTTTCACTGTAAAATCTCTCTTTATCGAATGTAAAAAATCTTCAGATCTTCAACTGTTTCTCCTTTGTTTCTTCAAATTCATTATGAATTCCATGTTGGGTACTAAGTACAGAATAGAACAAAATTAGACAATATAATCACAATATTTTAACTTTTTTTTTCTTTTTCAAGTAACTAATAATCGCATTACTTACAATCAAAAATGATCTCTTATCCGAGGAAATAGTGGAAGATAGCCGGTTTCCACAATGGCCGTTGACTATGTAAAAAAAAAATTAATTAATTAATTAATAAACACTTATAAGGCAATGAAACGCCTTTTTTACCCTCGCACGAGTTTGAAGAGAGAAAGGAGAGGAAAACACCGTAGAGAAACCGACGACCCATATGGCCAAAAAATTGACGACCTAGACCGGAGATCGCCATATCTCTGAAGAAGCCAAGATGGTGAGTTTTGGAACTTTTATATACATTAATTGAGTAAATAAAGCATGTTGTATGTTCATTGAATAAAGAAAACATGTTGTATGTTGATTTGTTGAATAATCTTTGTAGAAATTGTTGTAGATAAATAAATTATAGATGAAACTGAGAATTTTGGTGTGCTTTGGGAGCGAAGGTCGCCATTTTTTTGCGGCGACATCCCGTCGCCATCTGGATCCAGACAATCTGGAATCCAGATGGCCCAGTTTCTGGGTCGTGTGGAGTCATCTGGAATCCAGTTGTTGACTTGGCCACTGTCTGGAATCCACACGACCCAGTCTTCTTTTTTTCTTTTCTAATTATTTATTTAATTGTTTAATTAATATTTAACTATTTAATTTATCTATTTATCGAACATTTAATTTTAAATATTAAATACATATTTTATTCATTTTATTTATTTAATTTTAAATTAATTATTTTAATTGTTTATTTAATATTTAATATTATTATTTAATTTTAATTATAGTTTATTTTTTTCTTGAATTTTAAATTATTTATTTAATATTTAACTGAAATAAATAATTAACAATTAAATATTAAATAAATATAAACAATTTAAATAAACAATTATAATTGTGCCATGTATTTCACATGTCAATTTCCAGACCCATCGACCATTTTCATTCACTTCAAATTCATCAAAATAATAAATAGGGACTGCAGCCGATCCCACATCTGCATTTGGAAACATAGTTTGTTAAAAAAAATTATAATTAGGGGAAAAATGGGGTAAAACTGCCTGCCAAGACGTCCGGGCCGATTGTTTCCATCTATCTGGGCCAATTTTACAGATGATCGTAAATTTGTCTAAAATTATACATGCAAATAAATTTTTTTTCCTTTTTGTTAAAAAATTTATAGATCCATTTAAAATCGTAAATTTTTTATCTGCCTATATCAAAATAAGATTTAAAAATTAAAATAATGTACTAATTTAATCAAAGAAAAATTAGAACTACGTAAATATACTTTCCAATTCCAAGCGATGGCTGTGAATAATATTTTCTTGTTGAGTGATAAATTTTTCTGTTTCCAAGTTTGAAGCAGATGAAAAATGAAACAATTTGTATCTGCGTTGGAGTAAACAGATAAAAAAGTGACTTGATTTTCAAATTTTAAGTGGGAAGTATTTGAAATTCTTTATAACTTAAAAATTGTATTATTGTCTTTTAAATAATACCATATTTTTGTAATTGTATAACATGTTTAAGGGTAGTTTTATTTTTTAATTTTACTCACTGTAAGGCTTTGTGGTGAATGTTTAAAAAATCTGGTCAAAGTGAAAAATTGCAATGTTGACTTGGCTCATTTGAAAAGTACACCATCTTATCCAGGGGTTAGGAGTTATCTTGTCTACTACTAATGTGGACCTACAATTTTAGATAAATCAATGTTAGGTTGTCAAAAATTGTAGGCTTGATCGATATCGTGACGTTATCACATCAACAATGTGCATATTTTATCCTACCCACCATAAGTAGGAGATCATTTCTATACTTACAGTTAAACTCTCGGTTTTGTTTTTCAATTTATCAAAAATATAATATTTAACTATCACATGCAAACTCTTCATAATTTCCAAAAGCTAAAAGAGTGTATACAAACTTGAAATGACAAAAGAAGTTGCTGTTCTGTCTAGTGTCATTTCTCAATACCATTATTCAAATTTTGATCCCAACTCTTGAGATGCTAAATACTTCAATATGTCATTGTCAAAATAATTGTGTAACTCTATGCCCCGTGTCAAGGAGCCCATAAAGCAAGGCGGGCCGTGCCCGTCTCGCTTTGACACCACCATTCTAAATGCTCATCGTTACGAAGCAAGAACTAAAATTCCATGTGCCATTAGGTGCAATTTCATATCAAATCTACGAATATTAAGAAAAAAACCCAACATGTTCTATGTAATTAGGAGACAAATGTAGGATGAGAGGATATATTTGTGATCACATTCAAGGAAAAATACATAGATGCAAGTCTTGGAAGAAATTATATTGCAAAAATTAAGCCAAACAAATCCCATGCAAACAATCTCCTTACATTGTACTAAATGAGATAACATAATACTTTCTAGCTGCTAAAGATTTCGAAGAAGCTTGAACTTATACTCGAAGCATTGGATTTAGTCCATGTTTGATAGTTTAACCACGGTAAAGACGACATTGGACACTACCACGTATCCCCTTTCATTAATCATACTTGTCGTCATTGTCGTCGTCATCACATCCATTTCCCCCTTCATTTTTCTTATTGCACGTTTCTTGCAACTGATCACAGCCATCTTTAGGACTATCCAAAGCCCTCTTCTCCTGTTCTTCATCTTCAATCACATCTCCATTTCTCTCTCTAGATTTCCCTCTTTTTCTTCTAACCCTATTCTTCAATTCCACCAATAATTCCCTAACAGCATTATTTTTGTCTCTCCTCTTCTTGATTAAAACTTCACTGATATCTGCAGGAGTCATTTCTGCCTCATCAATTACACCCTCCAATTCTACCAATAGATCTTTCTGTAATTCATCTTCTTGAAATCCCAGATAATTTTTTAGCAGAATTTTCAGTGCAGGGAATGAACAATAACTCATGTGAATGTGCATGTCCATTCTTCCACTTCTTAACAATGCAGGATCAAGTTTTTCAATATGATTTGTAGTGAACAGAAAAATCTTTTCACTCCCACAGCAAGACCATAATCCATCAGTGAAATTCAACAACCCTGAAAGTGTTATTGAATTTCCATCATCCTCAATTCCATTAGATGCAGCATCATAGTTATTTCTTTGACAACCTGATTTTGCACCACCACCGGTGGTGTTCCGGTTAGCCAGATTGATAGAACAATCTATGTCCTCAATGACAATGATCGATTTCGAGCTGGTTTTCATGAGTAACTTCCTTAACTCAGAATTTGTATTCACTTCAGTCAATTCAAGATCATAAATATCATATCCAAGAAAATTAGCCATGGCAGCAATCATGCTAGATTTTCCAGTCCCTGGAGGACCAAACAGCAAATACCCTCTTTTCCAGGCCCTTCCAGTTCTCCCGTAAAAAGACTCTCCATTGGCAAAATCCACAAGATCAGCCATAATTTCTGCCTTTTTCACAGGATCAATTGCCAGAGTTTCAAATGTACTGGGATGCTTAAAGGGCACAGATTCCCAAGGGTGGCCTCTTGAATCCAAAGAACCCCCACGTGAATTCGTATAAAGCAACCTGTCCTGGTTTTTTCTGCGGATTTCATTAGCTTTTTCCATAACAAAATCCAAGTAAGAATCCAAAATCACCTGTTTGTCTTTTTTCTTCACTCTGAGAGTGAACCCTCTTCTCTCCTCGGGCAATGGCCGCCAAGAAAATGATTGGGACTGTCTTTGAGTGACAATATGCTCCCATTCGACAGCTGCGCCTTTGTACGAGTCCACGAGGCGGTCGTTGTTGGAAAGGCCAAAGGTGATGGAGCTGGAATTGAGGCCGCGCGTGAGGCTGAGACGTGTTCCGGAAATGGAAGCGGAGGCGCTGAGGTAGAGTTGCACGGCGTTGTAGAGCTCATTAGTGTTGACACCGTCGATTTCGGTGATGTCGTAGTAACAGTAGGCGGAGAACCAGTGGAAGAGGCGGTGGAGGAACTTGAGAAAGGCGAAACGGAAGTCAGGTGGGAAAACAATGTGGAGAATGCTTTGGCAGAATGCCCACACACCCATCATGGATGCCATTGTTGTCCAAATCTCCTTCATATTTCAATGGTTTGGTTTGTTTGTGAATACAGTACGTAAATGATACAGTAAGAGCCGTGTAGGGTGGGGTTAGGGAGAGAAGGTGAGGAGTTATATTGTGAGTGCAAGAGACGGCTCTTGCTTTGATTTATAGAGGGAGACAGAATATTGAATCTTTGAATAGGGCATATATGTGAAAATGAAATATTGTGTGTCGAGGGTATTATTAAGTACTAGGTCCCATTTGACAAGAATTCTACATTCGTTCCTATTTCTTGTAAAAATAAAGTTATTTTATGAAAGCTTCCTCTAGTTAAACGGAGTTATTTTAGAAAATTACCTCAATATGTTAATTAAAAAAAATTCGTTGCTTCGGACTTTTCACTGCCAAACGGATCATTAATACAATTTTGGGATGTGCTACAAGTACATCGGGGTCTACATAAGGAGTCGGCACTTCATCCAATGGGGAGGTGCCGGGTGTCCATTATGGATACCCTTATGTACCCCCTAATGTACAAGTAGCATTTTTCTACAATTTTATGCTATTTTCTGTCTCGATAAATAAGATTTCAATTTTTTTTTACCACATTTAACTATTATTCCATGCTTTTTGCCAACTATGACATTGGAAAAATAATAAAGGAAAAAGAAGTCTTGCTGTGAAAAAGGGGGTGTAGGGTTGGAGTTGGGAGAGTAAAGGAAAATGGAAAGGTGGCCATACACAGAGGGATGTTATAAAGAATTAGAAGAAAAACAGCAGAGGCAAAAGGCTAAAAACAGCCAGGGTTTTTTGGAAGGTATTATAAAGCAAAAGAGAATAGGTCAGAAATGGGACCTAAATTTTGGTTATACAAAGTTGGAAATTAGAGTTTTAGAGTGCTTTCTTCTGAATGGTTTTCTGCTCCAATATGATGGAGAATTTGAATTAGATAGGCTGCCTTTTTGTGTCAAAATATTTGGCAAAAAGATTTTAAAAAAATTGAACAGATTTGAGATAAATATCAGAATCAACATACAATGTCACGATAAAAGGTTGAATAATTAACTTGGTTCACAAAAGGTCGATGGAATAGTTAATTTGGTCACAAAAAGTCGATGTCGATGAAAATATAAATAGAATCAAGAAATCAAAATCATATAACAGGATATGAAAATTGTGTGTGAATAAGTTCAATATATTTGATGTACGTCAAGAAACTCAGTTGATAGATATTTACAACTTTGTAGACTTTTCAAACATACATTTTTCACGTATTCATCAAAATCTTTCTTCAACAACCCGCCTAGGGGCTAACAATGTTCATTGGGTGGCCCCATTACTTTTCTACCTGCACAATTAAGTACTCGAAAGCAGAATGCTGATGAATTGGTTACTGTGTTTTCAATTAATTTGTGTACCGATTCTGGTTTTCCCAGTCGCTTGATGCAGTAGAGAAAATCTCCCAAAGCAGATTGGATTGCAAATTGTGTCATCATCATTTCTGATTTCATCTTCATGCCTTTCTGATTACACTTTATCACATGGCTACATGCAAAAACCATAAAACTATGATTTGGGAATAACGCGGCCTGCTTCTGAGAGAGAGGTGCTCCCGCAGGCCCCCACCTATAGAAGGCGCCACTTGGTGCCCCTGGTAGTGTGGCCCGGTACAACCACCAAAATCCCTTCTGAGAAGGGTTCAGTATGAGTTTGAACCGGTTTACTTTTTCTGAAGCCAAATTAGATCAAGACATCGAGCTACTGAAAAAAAAACGTAGGGTTCAACCGTTTATTTTTTAAGGGACCCCAACTTTTCATTAATTTAGTACACATAGTAGTACTATAGTAACTTCTCTCTCTCTTCAAAATGGTCGAGTCGACCAACCATTAGATAAGAGCTTGTTTGATACAGCTCAAAATTGGATTAAAATTGAAAATATAATTGTTATTGGGTCTCACTCGTTTAATAAAAGTCAACAATAACGACTAATTTTTCAATTTTAATTTTTACCGAACACACCCTTAATTTTAGCGGAATGAGAATCTAAAACAAACAATGTTGATTAAAATAATGTAAATATTTAAATAGATCCCAATTAAAAAAGGTTTATTTCTTCTTTTTTTGTAGGTTTATAGGATATGTTATTACAAATTCATAGGTTTGTTATGATGGGCTGTGTGCAGATACTGTCTTAGCCTGTGTCTCAGAAAATCTCCTTTAATGACCTTGGATTTTGTTAAGCTACAAACCTATAAAGTTGCTAGATTGGCTATTTTTATAATATAAATTTGAAAAGATTTAAATATTTTATTAATTTTATTTTTTCTTTTCTTTTCTCAACTGTCTTGAAGTGACAACATTGACATCTGAAACCTTCATAACATGACAGAGCATCCTTTTAGATTCTAAGTTTAAAGTTAGGGTGTATTTCAACCACGTTATTTTGAAAAAATGTATTTTGAAATAGTAAATTGCCAAAAAATGTGCGATTGAAAAAGAAGAAAAAATTACTGATGTAATGAAAAATATTATTTTATTGAAAAATGTGCGGTTGTAAATAAATAAAAGAATGAAAATGAAAATTTTAATGTGATTCAAACAAGGTCTTAGCATGCAAGAGTCACATGAATTTGGTACCTTCTAGAAGGGTATCCCTAATGTTAACCCTGGAATTTTCATCTCCTCAGTTCAAAGGTCCTTTTTCCATCAAGTGTGTACCCAACTTGTATATTTATGAAAGGGAGGTAACTTAGATTTTCTATTTCCACCCCACCCCACCTCAACCTCTATTGTATGTTTCTTCTCTCTCATGTTTGAGTACGAGCGTACGGTTTACAGCGATGAACCATAAAGGAAAATACGAACCAAGGGAGAAACTAGGCTGCCACTAGCTCCAAGGAAGCACAAAACTAACAGGGACTCAAATCAATCATAAATAAGATGTATGCATAAACCAATAAACTTATAATGAAGTGACAATTTAGAAGCCGACTACAGACCAGCAATGGCTTATAACCGAAATAAAGAGTTATGTACAACTGCTATTACATATAGTTCAGTCAACTCAAAATCAAGAAAGTATTGATAAACAATTCGACTGCAATCCAATTGGTAACTATATCAAATGTCAATAGTTTTGTTTAGAGTTTGACCACTTAATGAAGTGTTACTATTAACAACCATATAATTCTTGCATCAGTCTATGGCTATGATAAGAAAACCGACAGATACGTACATAAGCAAGACAGGATAAAGCGCGAGAGCTTTCCTCCTTGGATTGACAGCACTACTAATGAATGGATATGCAGCCCACGAGCTCCACGCCAATGTCACAGCAACCACGATCACTTTGACGATCACATTGTCTTTTAACATACAAATTAAGGCACCGATGTCTAGAGGGAATAGACAGTAGCCTAGAAGACTCAGGCTCTGGAAGAAGATAATATGACCTCCCTGAAAGAAGAGCATAATATTGTCAATCAATCCAGGATACTAAAATTCTTTCTGGGCTCCAGATATTCAAGGTTTTGACACAGTGGTAGATAAATTTCACACATTCAACTTCTGGAAACGAATTAACTAGTGACTATAGAAGTCATGTTGTGTGCATGTGTGTTGGAGAGGGGAAGAGCGGCTTTACCAGCAGCAATACATTCAAGGTTAGAATTACGGCACCAGCTGCAAGCAGTGCAAATGCAACTGCGAAAACTTCAGACTGGAAGACAAAACAAAGTAAGAAAATGGCCGTTAGCTGCAACAAGCTTCACAATTTTCATCTGTTAAAACAGCATACAAAATCCAAGAAAGACCAGCCGAATATATAATTTTGCCAATTTGACGGCACAGTTAACATTTTTGTGATTCTTTGAAACATAACTTTCCAAAACATCACCGCTTATTATCAACCAAAGAAAAATGCAAAAAGTTTTCCTCAAAGTTTGAGGATTTTAGTAAGCCCAGAAAGTCCCACTAGAGTATTTGATCAATATTCTGACATTCAAAAGTGAGCCCACAAAGTCACATTCAGTAAGCACTCTGCTCGCTTTCAAGTATAGACTATAGTAATCAAAATTTAATCTGTCCAGTTTTGTACAATCAGGGATCAATTAGTTCTACACTGTATGACTTGTAAAGCCTCTTCCCCTAGGCATAATACTTAAGGTACATGCCCACAAAGGTTTCCTCTCCACCGTTTTTTTTTTCAAACATATTGTCAAACTTTTAATTCCAAGCATGCAACTCCAATTCATATTGTCCACAAACATTCACTTTAGTAAGCCCAATTGCACATAAATCATAGCTAACTATGACAGCTAAGACCCAAAAAGGACAAGAAAAACGAAAATATCTATGAATCAACTTCACACTTTTTTTTTTAGAACCATGACTCTTTTGAGGACAGTTTCATTTGTCAGACAAGATAGATTACAACTTACTAACTTAGATATCTAAAAGTTGTTCTCTCTTGCTACTAACAAGTAAAATACATAACAGCCAATAATGGGGAATTTGTCAAGTATCGTGACAAAAGTGAAATTGTGAACTAGTGATCTTGTATTGAGAAAATAAAAGGATAGAACCTGCTGTAAATGGCAGGGAAGCAGAAGAAAATTTCATTCATTCAACTTAATAAATTACAGTGCATACTAGTCTATTTATAGACTAAAATCTAACAATCTATCTAACAAATTAATAGCTGGAAGAAGGATATAGAAGAGACTAGAATGAGCTGTTGAATCATGCTGGAAACCTGCTGAATCACGCTGGGAA